TTCCACAGTCTGGAAGCAGGAAGAGGTGATGCTGGGGCTTGGCTCACTCTCAGGACCGCAGCCCGTAACTCGGTGCCGCCACAGTCAAGACTGGTTTCCCCCTTTCAGTCCAATCTTTCTGGAAACACCGTCCCAGACACACCTCCAGGTGGTTCTAAATCATTCAGACCGATAGTGAAAATGAGACAGAAGTGTGCTTGCCTTCTGGGCCCCTCACGTGCGCTGTTTTTACGTAGCCCGTGACTTGCCTGGCACTCAGCACTCGCTAAGTGAAGAGTTAGTGAGATCACCCTCGCGCCCATGTGCATCTCCTCCTCCACAGTGTTCACTAATGGACTGTGGTGACATGCTTTAATTAGACTGGAGTCCTGATGAGTAAACACGCTAATATAGAAGGGAGAAGATGATTCAGTAGCTCCCAGACTCCAAAGTTTAATTAATGCTCCTGTGAAACCATTGCCTGTTTCTTGGATTCAATGGTTTCAACGTTATTGGATTCTCACCATGATGGGAAAACGGAGGAGAGATAAGGACACTTAGTCTTCTGGGATCCTCTGGAGCTCAGAGATGGCCATTTGCTTTTCAATGGCTTCCTTATCCTACAGCTACTCACTGGGTAATGATGGCCCTGTGTTTGTTTTTTCTTCAAAGCCTGACTTGAACGGATGAGTAACCCTGCACTCTCCTCTTCCCACAACTCACTTCTCTTATTCTGTCTATCAGTATGTATCCTTACCTGTCCATTCATGGTCCTTCTTGTATTATAACCATCCATCCTCCATCCATGCATTATACCCATGCATCCTGTCAAGCCATCTGTACATCCGTCCGTCTGTCCGTCCATCTATCCCACCACCCCCTTTACTCTGCTGAATGTCACCCAAGCCTCCATGTCCCCCAGAGCCTTTGCAATGTCCTCACTGACTGAGTGCTTGTCTGTCCGATTACTGCCATGGCTCTAAAACAAAAACAAAAAACAAAAACAAAATCCCAAACCTACATGAACACTTATTTCACAACACGGTCATCGTTTGCTTTCTAAGGGGGCATGTCCTGGGGGTGTATGAGTCTTCCAAGCCATGGCTCTCTTTATCCAGAACTTTGCTCATAGGCCTGCAGAAGAGGCACTTTGTACTGTTACTTCCATTGCCCATTTGTTTATCTCTGTGCCTCTAAGAGCTGCTGAAGTCATTGTCTTTACCCCCCCCCCCGGGCATCTGGGAGGATTTCTCACCTCTAGATCCTTAGGGAGGGCCTGCATACAGCAGATGCTCATTAAATAACTGTTGACTTAATGATGGGTAGGTACTTCATTTTGTCCTTAAACAACTTACAGTGTATTTAGAGAGTGAAACCTGATTTTAGGAAGAGAAATAAAAATAGAGTTTCCATGGAAAAGCCAGATAAATGGATTCTGACTATCAGGGCAGGGCGATAGTCCATAAGCAGGAGGGGTGGGTCTTAGGAACTGGCAGTATCTACATCAGGGTGGTGCCCCAGACCTTTGGCTGCCCCCCCCCATATCCCCCTGGTCCATGCTCAAGTTCACCTGTACCTGGCACAGCTGGTGACTGAGCTCACCAGCACACCCCATCAGTGTGCTCAGGTTTGTGGCTCGTGGATCTTTCTGGATCATTGGGAGCTTACTCAGACTGGGTCCAGGGTGACAGGAGTGGACAGAAACGGAAGGGCTGAGGGAAGTGTCAGTGAGCGAGCGCTTCAGGTCAACCTCAGACGACACAGCACTGTATTCTCTGCAGTCTCCTGAGCCAGAGTGAGCCAGGGCTGTGGTGGAGCTGCTCTTGCAAATGCCCCTGGCTCTGACTGTCCTTCCTTCTCGCCTCTTAGGGGAAACTCAAAGCGAGATAGATAGAGTGATCATTCCACACGCTCTGGAGAAAGCCGGGGACTCAGAGAGGTCCCCATGGCTGTGACTAGCCTCTGCTAGTGTCCTTGGCCGCCTGCTCAACGGGGAAGGAGCTTTAGCCCCCTAGTGGTAAAGGAGGAACTAAAGAATATAAGACGGACTTAAGGGGCAGGGAGTCCAGCGCCCTGAGATTCCCCACCCAGCTCTGCTACTCAGGGTGTCTTAGTTACTGTTCAGTTGCTTCAGCAAAATACCCTAAAAAGCAATTTCAGGGAGGAATGATCTATTTCAAGCCACAGTTCCAGGGTGCAACCCACCATGGCAGGGAAAGCATGGTGGCGGGAGTATGAAGCAGCTGGTCACAATGCATCCGGCCAGGAAGCAGAGGGATGGATGAGCACATCTAACTCCTTCCTTCTCATACAGCGCAGAGGCTGTCCACGGATGGCACATCCGCACTTCCTAACTCAGTTAACGCAACCAGACAAGGCCCCCATTAGCGTGCTTGGAGACTCGTGTCTAGGTCCTGTCAGTTGACAGATGCGGTGTGCTGCCAAACAAGATCTTTGTCCACTCTGGGCCTTCGCCTTATCACTGGCCCAGGCATGCAGCCATCTTCCTAGCGTCTCAGCTTCCCTCTTAACTCTGGTTTGCTTTTGCTCATGTCTCTGCTCTCATATTCCAACTTCCTGTATTGACCTCTCTGTTTCTGTAAACTGCTCATCCTGCGGCAGTTGGTGTTTGGCTGTTGAGCATTCAATATCCATTTCTTATGAGTACCGGATGGAGTTAGAGCCACATAGTTCAGCTCGGGTTCTCAAAGAAAACTGTTTTCTCCACGTCTGAGGTATCATTATGGTTAATAACGATGACATCAATCTACCTCATCAGGCCATGCCAGTGTTTAACTAAGAAAAATGCTTTTGTCATTGTTAGTAAAGACGAAGCGCGCCTACTCCATCAGGTGACACCCCAGATGGGTGACTCCCTTCCCAGGCTCGGCGTTGCTCATTTGCAACCCAACCCTCCTTGGAACGACAGCGTGCATTCCTTATTGATGCTTTCGCTCTTTGACAAATACATTTTTCCATGAACAGAAACATAATTAACTTAAGTCATTTATATTAATCACAAGGGAAGAATCATGCAAAACAGGGGTAATTTTGTACTGAACAAGGCACACTGTCTAATGAATATAGATGATGCTGATTTATGTGTTTATCCAAAAGGTACCAGTGAGAAGGGGGAAAAAAAAATAACATAACAGAACGCCATAAGCCAACACCCAACTCCACTCCAGCCTCCGAAAAAACCCTGGAAAAAAATTCCATCAAGGTCTCTTTTTAATGATACTTCCAGGCTTGGTGGCATCCTGCCCACAGACAGAAAACGAAAATGACTTTTCAAGTGTTTACAGAGCCTGAACGTGTCGAGAGAGATTCCTTCCCAGCATGGGTGTCCCAGCGTGACTTCAGGAGCCTGCAGTGGCTGCTGCCTGTGCAGCTGAGCTCTGGGGAAGGAGTGTGAGGTGGGCTCTGTAGGTGTGGCAGGCAGGGACCAGGTCCCAGAAGCTCAGTTTCCCTGGTGTGGTAGTTGCTGCTGCGATTTTGAGTGGCAATGTGTGCCTTACCCACTCAGAAGTGGAGCAGTTGGCCGGGCTCGCAGAAAGGAGGAGAACAGGAAACCAGGCCCACGGAGCCCACCCAGGGCTCCGACTGGAAGTCCCTACTGTGGGATGCCCACTCCCGTTTTCCCATTAGGGAAACTGAGAACATGAAAATTAGTGCTTGGCTTCATCAGGAACGCTCGCTCTGCCAGATGCTGCTTTCTGGTGTGTGTGTGTGTGTGTGTGTGTGTGTGTGTGTACATGTGTATGTACACATGTACAGATCAGAGGTTGACACTGAGTGTCTTCCTCTATTCCTACTCCACCTTGATTATTATTATTAAGATATAATTTTGTGTACATGTATATCTGTGTATGGCCATGTGTATCTGAGTGCAGTTACCCCTAGAGGCCAGAAGAGGGAGTCAGATTCCCTAGAGCAGTTGTTCTCAACTGTGGGTTAGGACCCCCAAAAGACCATGGGAGAACACAGCTACTTATGTTACAATTCATAGTAGTAGCAAAAGTACAGTTATGAAGCAGTAGCAAAAATAATTTTGTGGTTGGGGTGACCACAGCATGAGGCACTGTATTAATTAAAGGGTTGCAGTAGCATTAGAAAGGGCAAGAGTCATGCCCATTGCTCTAGAGCTACAGTTATAGGCAAGCTACCCAAGCTGGGAGCTGGGAACCTAGCTCAGGTCCTCTGTAAGAGCAGTGTGTGGCCATGAGCTGTAGCTCCAGACCACGCCTGGTTTTTTAAGACAGGCTCTCACTGAACCTGGAACGCATTGATTTCTCTAGAGTAACTGGCTAATAAGCCCCAGGGGTCTCGCTGTCCCTACTTCCCCAGTGACACTGGGTGTTACAGATGTGTGGGTCATTCCTATTTTGATGTGGGTGCTGGGACTCTGAACTCAGGTCCTTACACTTGCACAGCAAGTACTTTATAGACCAAGCCATCTCAGCAGCCAGGCTTTTGTGTCTGTGGGTACAATTGCTGTCCCATTTTATGGACGAGGAAACAAAGTCTCAGAGAAGAGTCTGTAGACAGAAGTTCCTGGTTTCTGTCCCACCGGGTCCTGCAGCCCTCTAGTCCCAAATAAACACACAGAGGCTTGTATTAATTATAAACTGTTTGGCTGATGGCTCAGGTTTCATATTGCCTAGCTCTTTTAATTACTAACCCATTCTATGAATCCATGTGTCTCCACGTGGTTTGGCTTACAAGAGAATGCCCAGGCCTCCTACCTGCCTGGCAGACTCACTCTCCATGTTCCTCTTCCCAGCATTCTCCTAGTCTGGCAGCCCCCAGCCCTGCCTATACTTCCTGCCTGGCTGCACCCTGCTGAAAGAGCTTTATTCATCAACCAATATTCACAGGACATCCCCCATCACAAGGCACTTCTGCAGGACCCCAGACAGACACCTCCGTGGACACCCTTTAATGGGTGGGTAGAGAAGCACTCTGTCCACGGGGTATTCACAGGGAGCTTTTTGTGCCGTGTTGGTTTTATGAGGTCGCTGTCACAAGTCATAAGCACCGCTACAGAATCTCAGGATGCTGGGAGCTGGCTTCAGGGACACAGGGGACCGGTTAATGACCTGTGGGCTGGGCTGGGGGAAAGAAGGAAGGGAGCGAGGCTGTCGTCGGAGGCTGTGATGCTGCCACGCCCTTGATCATGTTTTCTCACTCCATCCAGCACTGCACTGTCCCAGACCATGCACGGCAGTCCCAGGTCTCGGAGCTGGACTCCGCTTGTAGCATTCACTGTGCGACCTGGGAGGGGCTGCTCTGGTCTCAGCCTGAGAGACCTAGTCACTGGATGCTGTGGATTGAACATTATATAATTGTGGTTATTGGAAGTAACCAAAAGGCATCTTGTCACACATCACACTCCAGTTGCAAACACCTCCTCCCCCAAGGGTGCATCTGGCCTAGACCAGTTCCACTGGGGCACTGGGTGGGGCTGGCGCGGGGCAGTCCCGGCCTGAGAAGGCTACAGTAAGTGACCTGGCTGTAATCTGTCTGTACCCTGGTCTTCTACTCCCTTTTCTAGTGCAAGCCAGCATAGCGGGTGCCAGCGGCCCCATCCATCCTCTGCGGCCTGGACAGCAGCACCAGAGAGCGTATCTGTCACTGTCTCAGGTGGCATGGATGACTGGAGTGTCATTTTTGACAAATGTCTGTGCTGGAGAGAATTCTGCATGGCTGTGGCACCTACGGACACTGAAAACTCACAAACACAGCGGGGCTGTTGCACACGCCAGTGAACACAAATAAGCACCAGGGCACCCAGGGATTGGCAGAGGGAAGGGGAGGAATCAGGCCCGGTGCTTACTGTAGGCAGACCAGCTGGTACCACCAGGGCTGACTCTCCTGACCCAAACCTCATCAGAGGCACCAGGAGCTCACGGCCTTTTCACTGCGCGTGCCCTGCTCCAGACCGAGTGGGAATCAGAACTGTGAGCTTCTGGGTTCCCTCTTGTGCAGTTTTGAATTAGGAGCTCTGCCTGTCTTCAGAGCAGGAGAGGCATGAACAATGTTTCCACGCCCCGCCCCCCCCCTGCAGCTAGAGCAACTTCTCTACCACCTTCCTTCCTGCTGTGAAAGACAAAAAATAAACAATGCCAGACAAAAGCAACTCCAGGGAGAAAGGTCTCATTCAAGGCCATCACAGTGAGGGGTGTGGCCACAGTCACAGTGGGGTGTGTGGCCACAGTCACAGTGAGGGGTGTGGTCACAGTGGGGTTTGTGACCACAGTGAGGGGTGTGGTCATAGTGACAGTGAGGGGTGTGGCCACAGTGACAGTGAGGGGTGTGGCCACAGTGACAGTGAGGGGTGTGGCCACAGTGACAGTGAGGGGTGTGGCCATAGTCACAGTGAGGGGTGTGGCCACAGTCACAGTGGGGGGTGTGGTCACAGTGGGGTTTGTGACCACAGTGAGGGGTGTGGCTATAGTCACAGTGAGGGGTGTGGCCACAGTGACAGTGAGGGGTGTGGCCACAGTGCCAGTGAGGGGTGTGGTCACAGTCACAGTGAGGGGTGTGGCCATAGTCACAGTGAGGGGTGTGGCCATAGTCACAGTGAGGGGTGTGGCCACAGTCACAGTGAGGGGTGTGGCCACAGTGACAGTGAGGGGTGTGGTCACAGTGACAGTGAGGGGTGTGGCCACAGTGACAGTGAGGGGTGTGGTCACAGTCACAGTGAGGGGTGTGGTCACAGTGACAGTGAGGGGTGTGGCCACAGTGAGGGGTGTGGCCACAGTCACAGTGAGGGGTGTGGCCACAGTCACAGTGAGGGGTGTGGCCACAGTGACAGTGAGGGGTGTGGCCACAGTGACAGTGAGGGGTGTGGCCACAGTGACAGTGAGGGGTGTGGCCACAGTGGGGTTTGTGACCACTGTGAGGGGTGTGGCCACAGTGACAGTGAGGGGTGTGGCCACAGTGACAGTGAGGGGTGTGGCCACAGTGACAGTGAGGGGTGTGGCCACAGTGACAGTGAGGGGTGTGGCCACAGTGACAGTGAGGGGTGTGGCCACAGTGAGGGGTGTGGCCACAGTGACAGTGAGGGGTGTGGCCACAGTCACAGTGGGGGGTGTGGCCACAGTCACAGTGAGGGGTGTGGCCACAGTCACAGTGAGGGGTGTGGCCACAGTCACAGTGAGGGGTGTGGCCACAGTGAGGGGTGTGGCCACAGTCACAGTGAGGGGTGTGGCCACAGTCACAGTGAGGGGTGTGGCCACAATCACAGTGAGGGGTGTGGCCACAGTCACAGTGAGGGGTGTGGCCACAGTCACAGTGAGGGGTGTGGCCACAGTCACAGTGGGGGGTGTGTCCACAGTCACAGTGGGGGGTGTGGCCACAATCACAGTGAGGGGTGTGGCCACAGTCACAGTGAGGGGTGTGGCCACAGTGACAGTGAGGGGTGTGGCCACAGTGACAGTGAGGGGTGTGGCCACAGTCACAGTGAGGGGTGTGGCCACAGTCACAGTGAGGGGTGTGGCCACAATCACAGTGAGGGGTGTGGCCACAGTCCCAGTGAGGGGTGTGGCCACAGTCACAGTGGGGGGTGTGGCCACAGTCACAGTGGGGGGTGTGGCCACAGTCACAGTGGGGGGTGTGGCCACAGTCACAGTGGGGGGTGTGGCCACAGTCACAGTGGGGGGTGTGGCCACAGTGACAGTGGGGGGTGTGGCCACAGTCCCAGTGAGGGGTGTGGCCACAGTCACACACAGTAGGAGAGGCAGCTGCCATTGTGTCCACTTGAAGGCAGCACCTAGGTGCTGATCAGCCCAGCTCGCTTTCTCCTTTTTATTTAGTCTGAGATCCCAGCCCTGCTCACATCCAGGGTGGGTCTTTTCTCCTCTGCTCAACCTCTTTGGAAATGTGTTTCTATGGCGATGAAAACAACCATCACAGCCTTAGCAGACCTCTGTCTTGTGCTGGTACACACGAGCCTGCTCAGTTCTCACATCAAACCCATCCTGCAGATGAGGAAACTGAGGCTCAGATAACCAACTTATCTAGGGTGACAAAACAAGTGACTGGAGCTGCTCTGATTCGCAGGCAGTCAGGCAAAGTTATCTACTGAACACAGGCAAGGCGACACTCCGTTATTTGTGACAGACAGAACTGGCCTCTGCGGCCTCTACACAACTGCCTCTCCAGTCTACAGTAAGAACAGCAGCCTGCTCCAGATCACAGAGCCCTCCATGGCAGAATTCTTCTGCAGTCTACATGCTCAAGCGTTTCCCCAAAGTTTCTCTCAGGCCAGCCCCTTGAGTTGGTAAAATGAAGCCATCATTATGTGAGTCAGATATCTGGTCTGACCGTGGCCTGATAGGACAGGCAGTGAGTCACCTGGGCTCACCATAACTCAGTCAGGCCACATCTCCTCACTGGATACTGGGGAGAAGTGTTCCGGACCCTCCTCGGGAGGTAATGTAGGTAACCTGTAGATATGGCTGGTATGGATATTTGGCGAAGGTACATATACCTGGCTGAATATGACATTTAGGTGGTAGACACTTGCCTGGCCTGCACTAGACCCAGGGTTGGATCCTAACATCATGGAAGACATTCCTGGTGCCACATGCCTGTAATCCCGACTTGGGAGGTGGATGCGAGACAGGTGTTCAAGGTCACCCTCAGCTACACAGCAACTTGAAAGCCAGCTTGAGGATAACTTAGATGGCCACAAAAAAATAAAACCATGATAACACACACACACACACACACACACACACACACACACACACCAAGAAAGCAGATAACAAATCATCAGTGACTGGCGCTTGAGGTCTCCAGCTGTTGGAGCTCACTGTTAAATGTTGAGGAAAACACCACAAAATAAACCAAACACCACTCTAATCTGAGCAGCTGGCCTCTTCCCAGCTTCCTGTAGAACATGAACAGTTTCACATGATCATGGCATTAGGCAAGTGCCGTTGATGTTCATGATGACACACGAACCACAGGGAGTGTTGTGAAGCATAGTGAGCGAGGGCCCTTCCACCAGTAGCTCAAGAGTTGTCTGTGTCCTCAGCAACGATGGCTGCACCCAGCTTCCTCCATCTTGCTTCCTTGATAGAGATGATTTAGATACCTGCCCTGCAAAGAATCCTGACCTCCCCACAGTTCAGGACACTCCCCATACTCTTTAAGTCACTCCTGGTCATTCTACAGGAGTGTAATTGTGAGGACCACCCCCCCATTCCCACCTGCTGGTCCCCTGTGGTACATAAGCTGCTTGTTTAGCAAGTCACCAAACCACACTTAAAATTTTTTTGCATATGTGTGTGTGTGTGTGTGTGTGTGTGTGTGTCACAATTTCCAAAGCTGTCCTCCTTATGTACTGAGGTAGGGTATCTATTGACTCCAGAGTTTACCAATTAGGCTAGCCAGCTTGCTTTCAGGGATCCCCTGTGCCTGCTTCTTAAGCTCTGGGATTGCGGGTGGGTTGCCACACTCACCCTGCATTTACAGGGGTGCTGGGGAGCTGAATTGCAGGGCTTGAGTCTACACAGCAAGTGCTTCACACGGGTCCCCAGCCCATCAAAGCTCACTTTGACTGGGAGGGCGTTTCTAGTGGTCTTTGGACATCAGTTTTATTAACGTGCACAGGGATTGTAATGTGCTCACCACCATGGAGGGGATGTGTTTAGTGTTGAAGGGATTAGATAGAAAATCTCTGAAGGCCAATTTCCAAGGACCTTCAGAGGGTCACTGGCTCAAATGTGAGAAGTGGCTATGACAGGTTGTCCTGCCAGGACTATTATCTTCATCCTACCATCTTAACGACCTTAGGGGATGTTAACATCTCATTTCTACAGCGTGAGGCTGTATTCTCTGAGGCTCTACTCTCTGAGGCTCAGCAAGCCTGGGAACTGCGTGCAGTTTCTCTAGCTGGTGACAGCTGCATCCTGGAGGCAAGGATTCTTTTGAAGACCATTCTCAGCCTATAGTTAAGGAGGCCTGGGCATCCCCACCTCACCATTGCCGCTGCTGAGCAGCTGCAGATGAGCGACCTCCTCTAGAAGCTGCACGGTGCCATTGCCGCTGCTGAGCAGCTGCAGATGAGCGACCTCCTCTAGAACCTGCACAGTGCCCTGCTGCTTTTCTCATGGAGACATGAAGGAACAAAGTCTGTCTGTCCCAGAGAGTGCACTGCATTGTGCCTGCCCCCTGGAGAAGCAGTGGCCTGTCCAGGCCTCTTTCAGAAGCATGGGTGACTCCAAAGTAGCTGCATGGCTGAAAGAGAATGAAAAATTAGAAGAAATGGGGCTGGGGGCCAGACCCACCCTAAGTGTAGGTGGCACTGAAGGCCAGTGATAATGAGTTCACTGGGCCCAAGAACATGATAAATGGGTGTTTATTGGGGAACAAATACACAGGTAATAGTAAAGGATGCCACAGCCTTTCTCTGCCCTTCCAATCAGATCTGCAACCTGAGAGAGAGAGAGAGAGAGAGAGAGAGAGAGAGAGAGAGAGAGAGAGAGAGAGAGAGAGAAGGAGAGAGCAAGCCGCCTCACACTTCCCTCTTTCCAGTCCTGTTTGCACCTGAAGCCACGCCTAAAGGGGTATGGCCACTAACACAAATACATTGACAAGGCTAAATGCCATGGCCGAGGGTCTTGAACTGAATACAAAAGAGAAGATGAGCAGAACCCCAGCATTGGTCTTTGCTTCCTGGTTACAGGTGTGATATTGACAGCTACCTGCTACCACGCCCTTCCTTCCATGGTGGATTGTGTTCCTTTGAACTGGGAGCTGAGACAAAACTGTCATATCGCAAGTTTCTTCCTGTCAGGTATTTTGCTACAGAAACAAAGAAAGTTACTAACGGAATCCTTGTGGTGGCTTTACCCTTAGGAGTCAGTTCAGCCCTGTGCACTCAGGTGTGGCATTGCCCAGGAAGAGTGACATTAATTCATTGTCTACCACCCTCAAGTGCTGGCCTTGGGACTGGAGGTTCTGCTAAGCTTAGCAATTCTGATGTATGATGGCCCAGCTGGCTTGCCATATGATGCTTACCTGGAGTCAGAGCTGCAAATGCTCCCTCCTAGTGACAATCTCCGCCTCCTGTGCTGTCCCTGTCATCCCACAGGAGCTGGATGAAGTACTGCTATTGTGTGTGACCCCCCCACTCTCTTCCCTTCTCAGGGACACAGTCCCCAAACACTGTCTGCTGCTGACTTCCCACCCCACCCCTGTGTATGTAATGAGTATGGTTTTTCCACCCGCAGCCAGGTCTTGTCCTGCCGCCGCACCAGCCCCAATCAACACACAGAGACTCTGTATTTGATATAATTCTGTTGGCCCATTATTTGTTTCTTATCAGCTAGCTCTGTCTTAATTATTAACCCATTTCTATGTATTTCCACATGGGGAAGAATGGCGGTTCTGTTCTCTCTAGGCTCTCCATCCTGACTCCTCCTTACTACTTCCTCTCTCCTCCTTGTCTCCTAGTCCCTCCTATCTTCCTTTCCTATTGGCCAACAGTGCTTTATTCATTAACCAGTATGAGAAACATATACAGAATGACATCTCCCATCATCCCCCCTGCTCTTGATTGGATGATTGGATACTAACACAATTGGTGTTTCCCTCCTGCGCCTCCTCCGTGGCCTCCCTGTCTCATTAGACTCCAACCTCCCTGTTGCGTGAATTTTCCTGGGATACATGAACCAGTATCTATTCACTGATGGAAGATATGATCACATCCAAACTCCTGGTGAACCCAGGAGTTTATTGGGGTTAAATTTAGGTGTGGGGTGACTTAATGGCAGCTATGTCACCTAAAGATCCACTGCAATGCAGATTATGACTCAAATAGCCGCAGGCCCGTAGCTCTGTATTCAGCTTGCAGGCTGCTCCACTCAAGAACCACCTCTCCTCTGGTAATTCCTTCCTGTTTTTACAGCTTGGGGAGGGTTCTCATGAGGTCCCTAACTTTCCGAACCTAAGTTTTGAGGAGTCCTCTTCATCGTCATCGTCGTCTTCCCCTCCTTCATAAAAAGAGAAAGACATCTATTTTATTTCAGGGGTATCTGTGTGGAAGTTAGACAACAATTTTTGGAAGTTGGTTCTGTCCTACAGTAGAGGTCCTGGGGATTGAACTCAGGTCTTCAGGCTTGGTGGAAGCCATCTTTACCCACTGAGCCATCTAGTGAGACCCAGCCTCCTGAGTCTTATGAGCCTCCTTCCCAGGAGGGACTGTTTTCATTTGGAGGAAAACAAGGGGGTGGTTTCTTGTCCTTTTCAGTCACTTCTGTAGTCCCCAGACTTTAGAAGCTGGTTTGACACTCTGTATTTTAAAAACAATCTTTTTTTAGAACTTACATGTGAGCAGTATACCTATATCACTCCTGTCCCACCCCCTCCCCCAGCCCCCCATTATTTTAAGGAACTATTTATGTTTACTTCCTGTGTAGAAGTGTTTAACCTGCATGTCTGTCTGTCTGTCCCACCTCTGCAGTTGATGCCTGAGATGGACAGAGAGGAGGTGCACAGATCCCCTGGAATTGGAGTCATGGCGGTGTGATTTGCCAAGTGGATGCTGGGAGCTGAACTGGGGTCCTCTGCAAGAGCAGCCGGAGCTTTCACCCCCTGAGCTTTCTCCCCAGCCCCTTCCTATAATTATTGTTACACGAGTGTGCACGACACACACACACACACACACACGTATATAATCTACTGAGTCCACTTAGTGTTGACCCTGTGTACATGTGTCATGTGTCCAGGACTGATGTCTTGGCATTGGATAACCTATGTGGAACTTGTCCCTGGAGGACACTCTGAATTTTGTTCAAAAAAATGAAATTGTTCTCTATGTGTGTTGGAGTTTTTTTTTTTTTTTTTAATTGAACTTGTGGATGTAATGAATTAGATTAATTGGTTTTTATTATAAACCCGTGTGTTCCTAGGATGGAAACCCACTTGATGCTGACATTTCGCCAGATCCCATTTGCTGGTGTTGAATGTCCAATTTTCACACTTGCAGCAGGAGAACATTGGTTTACAGTTGCTTCTCTGCAAGCGCTCTGATCGGGCTTTTGGTCTGAGGCATTGGAGTTTACCTAGAATGTTCTATCTGGGATCAGGAAGAGTTTAGTCAACACCAGAGTTATTTGTCCTTTAAGGAGTGATTCCCCAGTGAAACCACCTGTCCCTGGGGCCTTTTATAACGCGATTTTAACCACCCTGCAGCCTCCCCATGCTCTCAGTGCCTGCTCCTCCCTACTCTTCCTTGGGTCAATTTGCGTTGTTTTTACGACTCACTAATAAATATACACATCTCCCGGCTTCCCCCTTAGGTTGTCACAGAGCTGATGCAGGATTCCCTAAGAACTTGTAATCTCTTAAGCACCTATCCTGTCTCCTTCCTGTCCCTCATTCTGAATGGTGCTGTCCTTTCATTTCCCTTTCATCGGGCACCTAACGCTATCCTGCTTTCTGCACTTTGAATAGGCGCTTGTGTTCTCATGTAGAACCCACTGCTACACGGAGAGACTGGAGCCTGTAGCATCTTGGCCTGCAGCGGCAGCTCCCGAGGGTGTGTGAGCAGGGGTGTGGCGGGTCAGTAGAAGGGTGGGTGGTGCTGACGGTTGGGCTTTGGTGCCTGGCATTCCCACTTGCTGGTTTTGAGACCATAGGAAACGAGCCTTTGCTTCTCTGAACCTCTGTCTCTTTTAGCATCACATATCTCCATGGGTGCAGAGGAAGATGGGTATATGAGTGACCGGCATGGCACCAAGCAGAGAGTAAATGCAACAGTAAACATGAGCCATCTTCACGAAGGGAACATGGAACACGGTGGAGTGAGCAAGAGGCTGTGTGCTTCCAAGAGATGGACTGAACCTTGAACTCACACCTTTTGCTGCCCAGAGCCAGTCACATGCTTTCCATATTGACTTATTTTATTTGCATGTCTGAATGATTTAATTTTTATGCTGAGTAGTGGTGGTGCACATCCAGAACTTGGGAGACAGCGGTAGTTGGATTACTATGAGTTCAAGCCAGCCTGGTCTACAAAGTGAGTTCTAGGACAGCCAGGGCTACACAGAGAACCCCTGTCTCGAAAAAACAAAAACCAAACCAAACCAACCAACAACATACAAACAACAAAAATCAGATTTTATTGTGTCTCTGTGTGTGTGTGTGTGTGTGTGTGAGAGAGAGAGAGAGAGAGAGAGAGAGAGAGAGAGAGAGAGAGAGAGAGAATGCTACATGCATGCATGTGAATGCTATGGAGCCCTGTAGCTAGAGTAACAGTGGCTGTGAGACACCCAATATGGGTGCTGAGAACTGATCTCAGGACCTCTGGGAGCCTAAGGAAGCCAGTGAGCCATCTCTCCAGGTCCTAGTTCCTTTACACGTTTATGTGTTTGTATGTGAGTGTATGTGCCCTTGTGTGTGCAGACGTGCACGTAGGACAACCCCGGCCTAGATACACCATCCATCTTGGCTTTTGTTCTGATTTTAGTTTAAGGAAGGGTCTCTCACTAGCCTACTGTCTGATAGGGTGGACAGTTGGCAAAGAGACCCAGGGATCCAGCTGGTTTTACTTCCCTAACACTAGGTTTATGAGTGTGCACCACCACCCCAGCATTGATTTCCTAAACATGAATGCTGAGGCTCATGCTTAGGTCCTCATGCTTGCAAGCACTTTATGAACTGAGCTATTCCTCTGCTCTAGAAGTAATCAGATGTGAGATGCTAACTGTACATTCATACATATCTACACATACACGTCTTTCCCCAGAACCTCATGAGGTAAGTTTTAGGTAGAACCTACTAGCCTGTCAATCTTCAATGATAGTTCACCTAGAATACTTGCCTGAGATTCACACCTTTATTATCAGCTTCTTTTTCAGAAGACAGGCTTAGGACAGGACAAACAGCCATCTTCAGGTCACATGGCTTATCAGTGAAGGAGGGTGCTTTGGTCAAATCAGGGTCCAAGACCTCTCAGTGTAGTCAAAAAGGTTAAATGCACAAAAGCCATCACTGCAGATTCCGCTCTGCTCAAATGATTTGGCTGGTCCTGATGCTGAGGAGCCCATACAAGCCAAGCCGTGGCTGTTTGAGCAGAGAAGGGAGGCTGACTAAGGATAAGAT